CCAGTCCCTTGCCCCCCTCCCCCCCCCGCCCTTCGATCTTGAAAATTTTAACATGTGCTCACGGCTGAGAGAATTCAATGAGAAGCATTTAGATCGTTTTCTATTGTGTGGAATCGTGGATGTAAATCGTGGCTCAAATCTGAAATATGGTAGCAATGAACGTTAAATATAAATTGCATTAAAAATTTATAGTATCAAACAGTCGTGTTTTTTGGTTTCGAAAGTACCGTGCATATATTTTCACTTTGATCCGTGTATTCGATTTAAAAAAAATGCGAAATGCTTTACAACTGCGATTTTATTCAATCGAAGCTGTTACAGAGATTACCACGGCTCACAATGTGAAAACATTCATAGTGCGACTGGATACATTATTTTTAGATTTTGTATTTTGGTTCATGTAGATTTTTGATAATTAAAAACTTTAATTATTTATTACATTAATTATAACTTATATATAAACGGACGTAATATAAATTGATGTTCTGATTATTAATACATTTCACTCTCTATTTTATATTAACAATAATTATTTCATACTCCATAATCAAATAGTAATATATGCATTGTTTGTTAAATTGTGCTTTTTTTATATTATTAAAAAGAATGTCGATACAAAGTTATAATTTATAAAAACTTTCTGTATTTCAAAATTTTATCAGTCCATGACTTCGATTTAAATTACAACGCACAAAGAACAAAATACACATAAAAATTAATTAGACAAAGGAGAAAGCCAGAAAGATCATATCATAGTAATTTGAAAATGAAACAAATAACATTAATTGAAAAATACACAATTTTTCCTTATACATTTCATAAAAGTTTTGCAAAATTTCATTTTGCAAGATATAAATGTTAATTTAAAATGATATATCGTACTTCAAGGATCACAAACGATTGGCTTAATGTTTTTTTTTTTATTTCAAAAAGAGACAATCTTCTAAAGAAAAGCCGAAATATATTTAACCGATATTTCATCATCAGAAATAATTAATTTGCTGTTAATTAATTTACAATTTCCAATTCTTAAAGAATTATTAAATATAACGCTCTAATTATTATTAAATATGTACGATGGTGAAACCTTCTCAAGCTTCTCGTGCATATAATTAATTAATTTAATAGTCCTACCTAATATTATTGAATGTACACGCGCGTGGCTTCAGGATTCGTATTTCCAAACTATGAATTTCATTTGTGAAACAACTACCAGTAATTGATCAGTAACCACAATACTTGAGTCATTAATAATATCTGTTAATTAATACAAAGAGATATTGTTATTAATCATTTCCATACTATATATATATATATATATATATATATATATAGTCAATCAAAACTCAAAATCATGAAATTCCCTCTTTGATTTTTAATAACTTGGCAGACTGAATACGACATCTAGTGGATGATAAAAAAGTTAGAAAGTATAGAAAATTTAAATAGTCAATCAATTTTAAAGTATATTTTAATAACAATCAAGAGATTAACAAATTCCAGACGAATTATTATTAAAAATATGAATTAAAGAGACACCTACACTAAAACGATCTATCGCTACGGTGTAGAAATACGTTATTTACCAATTTTTTTCACAGCATGTCTATTCAAATAGTTGTAGAACATCTTATAAAAACTTTCTTAATTATATATGTATAAACAGACTTGAGCAATTTTTGTTCTAAAAAATGTACCTACAGATTACCAGATCGACAGAGAAACGGTGAAAGAACACGCGTGGCGCTCTCTGTGATCGAGAAACAGTACTCTTTGTTTCTACGAATAATCTGTAATAAATTTGATATATTTGACTATCAGAGATTATAAAAGTTTCCGAGTTTTTGGGTCTGTTTATTCCAGCACTAGAACTCTCTTTCTTGCATTCACCAAATGTCAAATATATACTTATCTCATTTTAAGCTCCAAAAGTGTACACTAGTTCAGCTACAGAAAACAGATTCTATGTATACATATATATACTTATGTATATAATTAGAAATTTAGTTTTTTAAAATACGTATAAGACAAAGCTCCTTATCAAAAATTGAGTTTTATAGCTAAAATGAATAACAAATTATACATATACATATATTGTTAAATCTAACTTGAAAGGAATTGATAAAAACAAGGAGTGTTACCTATGCATAAATGATGCGTCGGGCAGTCAGTGTAACATGCTGTTAATAAAATCGATGAATTTAATAACATATTGTAATTAATTATTTATACATATTAAAATTTATACATTTAAAACTTTGGAATCTTCAAATATATTGCATTCTAAACATTTTCTAGGTATGAAATATTTCTGAATTAACTTAAATGTACACAACAATTACATTTTTGTACATAATAAGAGAATATATATTTCTATACTATTATTTCCATTAATAGAAATTAAAAGAAAAATATTTATAAAATATTTTTTAAGATTTTTGTAAATTGTACCATAAAAAAATTTTTTTAAATTATTAATACACAACAATATTAAGGAGGTCCGAACGTTAATCGAAATCCAATTTAGAGACTTAATTTTTTAATATGATGTAGATAAACTGTATACAAATAACCCACAATTTGAGCAATATTGACCGTATAGTTTTTTTTGTAATGTCATTCTGAAATTGATATCATTTTAACGTAGCGTTTTATGGGAGACAGTCGTTCCAAAGTAGATTATCACCGATTTATACACACTCAGCCAACTTTGAAAAACTAGGATTTGACAGTTGAAATATCAACAATTGTGTACAAAACAAGACATTCGGATTTGACCGTATGGATTTAAAGCTTTATTGTCACAAAGTTTATCTTTACCTTATAATTCGCCATAATCGCCATAATCATTACCCGTCACGTCGCGAAGTGCAACGTTGCCAAGTGTATACTCGACTTCTCGAGTAGTTGACGTATACATTTGTTAATATATTCTATTCACTTATAATTTACTAAGAATACAGCACATAAATAATATCCACAAAGTAACGCTCGCACCTCCTTAAAAATCTCTCATTTCACAAATTAGATATTCAATTTTTTAATAATAATATATAGAATGTTCGGCAACAGATGAGAATTGAAAAAGTAATTCTAAATAATAAAATAAAAAAAATCAACAAAATTGCTTCGTTAAGACGAAAATCAAGAATAACAAAATTGCGAATTTGGCTATATCCTTTAATTATAAGTATTTAAACACTTATGCTTTAAAGACTTTATTTGAATATTTAAACTTTCATTTCGTGTCTTACTTTATCATCTTTTCATCACTTGTTAACTTTTCTTTCACTTGTTAAATTTTCTGTTGCCAAACATTCCGTATATATTTAGCTAAAAAGCTATTTCAAAAGAAGCAAATATAATCTTGATAAATTGCTATATAAATTCTATTGCTATACCTGCATAATCGAAGTTGAAGAGGAAAAGAAAATAATTGCAACACTGTATACGTGATTATATGTGAAAAACAAAAATATGTTTATAATAAGATAATATACATTACATAAAAATTACGATCTATCCTCAATTGTATTGTATAGAATAAGATTGAAGATTAAATAGTGCATCCTCATTTTCCTTTTCTGATTCAACTTGAGGTATGGTCTGTTCAATGTTTTGTGATAAAAACTCTTCTTCTATTTCTATGAGCACAGTCTCGGTCTTCGGTTCTACCAACACAACTTGACTTTCTTCTGATTTTTGCTGAAGAAAATTCGTTGTTTTTGTGTTCCTTTTACGCTTTTCCTTAGGTCGGTTCTCATGTACTCGCATGTGTCGTCGTAAATCGTATTTACCAGTGAATCCCATGCCACAATTTGCACAATTGAATGGCTTGCCTTCAACGTGATTAAACATATGCCTCCTCAACGCTGCACTAACCGTAAATGCTTTTCCACATACATTACATACGTGAGGCTTTTCACCTGTGTGCAATAATCCATGATCTCGTAACGTAGCACGTTGATTGAAGCTACAATAATCATATATAAGAATATTTACATCAAATATTATGTTTAATCAAATATATATTGTCATTAAAGAATTCCAAAATTTTTAAAAAGAAATTTACGAGATACTAAAATATTATTTACAACATAAGAGATATTAGTGAACAGTATAATATAATAACAAATAAATATAAAATAGCTCGATTATTTGCACAGCAAAATAAAGTATTGTGATAACGACCAATAAACGAACACAATAAGATATTAAATTAAATAGTTACTTAAAATATATTTATTAAAGCATATTAATTTATATTAATCCAAAAGAAATAATGAAATGCCAATGTGAGCCGACACAAGTTATTAGTGTGTATTTTTATATATAAAATTTATTCAAAAAATGAATAATAAAACGTATACGTTTCGACCCTCGTTTGGGTCCTATTCAGTACAAGGAAAAATGATTAAATATAAAAGTTATACATGTAAAGGTAGCGCATACAAAATATAAATTATTTGAGTGTAAAATACAAAATACCGTGATGGTAATATCCGAATTTAAGTCAAATCCTGTGATCGTCAAATTGATAAGTTTAATAATTGTCAAGATTAGACTGTTATCACTGTAGTATTTGTACATGTTCCACATTATCCTGTTAATTAAATTCAATACAAAACGTTTCGACTCATAAAATCTTTATTAGTATATAATATAATAACAATTAATTTATTAAATAATTAAACGGTCTAAATCGAGCTAAATGAATTTAATATAATAATTATTGTTCTTAAATTTTACAATATAAAAACACTAACAAAAAATGTCGTACGTTTCGGAACTCACAGGTTTGCGAGTTATCTGTGATCATATCAATCAGCATGTCTGTAATGCTTTATCACACATTATAAGAATATTATCAATCCAACGACGCAAACATCCATAAGAATCGCTGAAGGATCTGTGAGTTCCTAAACGTACGACATTTTTTGTTAGTTTCTTATATTGTAAAATTTAAGAACAATTTAATTTATCTTTCCGCTTAAAGATGACTCGAACTGAGTCAAAAAACGTCCGAACGAACCTTTATTATTTTAATTTTTAATTTTTAACTGTTTTATATGTATTATTGTATTTGTAATTTACCTTGGCTCCTTGTCCTTTTTATTAATATTTATTAAGAGAATAATAATTATTATTATTAAATCCATTTAGCTCGATTTAGACCGTTTAATTATTTAATTTGCATTGCAAAAAACGAGCGAAATTGATTAATATATTTATGTTACTCTTTTTAAATGATCTTTAAACAATATTTAGAATATTTTTAAATTATGATATTTTGCATTATATCCTATTTCAAAGTTTGCCTATTTCATATTAAACTAAAAAAAAATGTATATATAAAAATGTATATATATATATACACAGTGATGGCAGAAATAATAGGTACACTGCAGATAAATCGTAATTTTATCTGCAGAAGATAGAAAAAAAATATTTAGATCAATTACTATGTGTAGAGGTAATACTTTGAGGCTTTACATTTAATAAAAAATAAAAATTTTTCGAAAAACGTCTGCACTTACTTAATTCTAAAGATCAACTGAGATTATTTATATATATAAACATGTTTTTAAAATGTTTCGACGTTCAACAGAAAAAGTAACCTAATCTAGTATTAGCATATGTTCGCAAATCGAAAAAGGACAACAAATAAGTTAGTGTTTATTATTTCTGCCACAACTGTATATACACACACACACACACACACACACACACACACACAAGTTACAAACCTTTTGCCGCAAACTTCACATGTGTAACTGCGAGGATTCGAATGTATTTTTAAGTGGTTCAATAAGTTGCCTCGTTGTGAGAATGATTTTTGACAAACGTCACATTGAAACGGTTTTTCGCCAGTATGTACGCGTATATGCGTTTGCAGTGTACGATTGTTAGGAAAACGTTTGTCACAGTAATTGCACGGATATTTAGGTAAATAAAGACCCTGTGGATCCAAATGGCTCATCAAGTGCCGTTTGTAATTGCCCTTATGATTAAATACACGCGTACATTGATTGCAAGTGTAGGGTGTGGCATGGTCGTGTGTCGTTGCATGGCTTTCCAATTCTGATTTTGATTTAAAGCGGCAACCACACTTCAGGCAGCGATGCCGTGAAAAATTGGGATGGCATGCCATGTGCCTCTTCAGATATCTTTTTCTATTATATGCCTTTTGACAAAGAAAGCAGGAATATGGAAACTCGCCAGTGTGTGTTTTCACATGTGTTCGCAGCTCTCGATGACTTTTGCAATCCTTTTCACACACCATACAAAAGAATGGACCGTTGAAAGGGACATGATTGTCAATAGTATGCAATAATATATCAGTTAATTGATTATAGTTCTGTAGACATAACGTGCATTGGTATTCAATCCCATTTTCTTGCTGCACTTCTTTTATCCGTATAATCGCATCACTCACACTGCCTAATACATTATCTTTACCATCAACAAAGTAGTCTGAATCAGATCCATCACTGTCCTCTACTCTGATAGATTCAATGTTAGAAATACTCTCATTGAGCTTTGCTTCCTTATTTCTGTTTCGAAGCGTGTCATTACATTCTTCTTGTTCCTCAACGTCTATTACTGATGTTTCAAGTTGTTCCCAATAGGTACATTTATTCTTTCTCATCGTATTAGGTTCTGGATTGGAAATACACACACTGTTTGAGGTTTCTTCATTTATTTCGGCCAAGATTTCTTCTTCAGGGATAAATGTACCATTGCTATTTACAATTTCTTCTTGCTTCGGCTCAAGTGTTAACGTGTTCTCCATAGACATCGACTCAATCGCAGATTTTGGTATATACATTATTGTATATACATTGTCTGTAAACATTTTTGAAATTTCTTCAGGTAAATCGGTTTTCGTCAAATGGACATCCTCGTTAGTTTCAATAATATTATAAAAAATATCATTCAACTGCGAGTTCTCTTTACCATCCCCATTATTTTCAACCAATTGAGATACATTAATTTCAGATTGTTGTTCGTCCATCTCATCTGTTGTTTCAATGTCTACAAATTCGAAAGTATCATCTACAGTATGATGTTCAGTCTTTACATCACTTGATATATTCAATTCCAAAGATCCATCTGTTTGCATAGCATTTTTTTCTTTCTTAACATTTAACTTTTCTTCCTAAAAAGAAAAAAGAAAGACATTATAATAACATCAAAAAGATATCTTTTAGAAAATTTTAAGTTCTTTAAATATTTATTCATAGATTAATCTTTTTATGATTAATAACAAATTATTTAATGCTTATAGATTATTCAAAATTTACTTGTAAATTTTAAATACATACATATTCATACAGATATAAACTTCAAATTAATATTATTTTTATTTTCTATCATTATACCTTGGTAGTAGTCATTTCAGTTTCATACATCATTCTGAGTTTCTTGTCTGATTCTTGCACTTCTAGTCTGAAGTTATATAGAGCATGCGTTCGATATGCACACTTTAAACAGAGCATGTTAGGTAACCCATCAAATTGATCAATCTGATGAAAAAAAATGTTATTAACATATAAGAATTACATACACTAATAATAATTTAATATTAAACTAATAAAAATAAATCTAATTAAATAAAAATTCTATTTTAATATACAGTTTGCAGAAAAACATATATATATATATATATATCCCGAAATATTAAAAATTTGCTTCAACTAAAAATAGGAATTTTTTTATTTAATTATATAAAGTGTATATATTTATAATTATCTTACTTAATTACATATAGTAGTATGCTAAAGTAAATAAAATTCTTTTCTCAAAACAACATTAATTAATTACATATAACAAAATAAGCAATCATTTTTTTTTTAAAGTAGGTATAAAGAAATTGTAGTAGATCTTAATCAATGCATGCTACACAAAATGCCCTTGTAACATCAAATAAATTATTCAAGAAAAACATTCTTTTTCAGTACAAAAAAATTTTTTGTACCAAACGTTAATCATAAGTTTATTTGTGCTCCTTGCACTTTTTGTACACAGCATCTTCACTTTCTCTTCCTTGAGTGAGTGAGCGAGCATGTAGGTGTGGTATTCAACCACACGATATACATATATATATAGAATATATCATTTTAAATCCAAAAATTTTTGGGATTTCAAAGCAGCAGATTTTCAATCATATTTATGCCCGAGATCATGATCAAACTGGGCTCTGAAAAGCTGTCTGTTGAAGACGCTTATTGAGGTTAGACACAAAATACATTGCATTTCTGTTTACCTTGACAGAAGTGAGCTGCGCGAGCTTGTACGGTAAATTGATCCAACTAACGGTATTATCGTACATGGGCAGCATCTTGCTGTCTCTCTTCATGCAAGCGCGACATTTATTCATGTACGAATCAATTCTCGAGTTCACGCTTTGTGGCATGACGACGATGATATGTTAAAACGACAGTCCTTGAAAAATGAGATAACGATAGCTTTTCGGGGGCGAACGATCTCGGCGTACTATTCGCAAATTATCAAACGAACGTTACTCTAAGATAGTCTTAAGATGTAGTCACGTTTAATTGCATCTCTCACGATTAGCCATAGTCAAACTCAACGACACAGCCGACTGAGTTCGATACTTGGACGTTGGACACCATAAACCATTGGACACAGTGATGGGAGCAGGTCCTATATTCTGTATGTAACACGTCTACCGATAGTTGTCAGTGTCCGTTAAGTGGCCAATAAGAATCGCACTTTTCTCCTAGAACAGTCCTAGCCATTGGCTACCGCTACTTAACGACACATCAAAACAGATCACGTGATAAAAATTGACGAATGTCAAGCGTCAATTTTAATCACGTGCCGGATTTAGCTGTCACTTTATCTCGAAGCGCCTCTATGTCCACAAAACGTAGATATTGAACTATGTAGTGACCAGTGACCAATACCACGTTGTCCTGTGGAAGGTGTGTCTTGGAAACTTCGCGTTTAATTGACTGCTCCATTTAAATTAAGACGAAAGAAGATAAATGTAGTCTATAATTTTTGCTACGTTTTTAGCGGCTAAGAATATGGTGATCCGACTGGTTTTCAGCTTGTTCATTTTCACCTTTATAACAGCGAATTTTGTAGATACTTATAAATACAATGGTATTGCTATTTTTTAATAATTTCATATGTTCATGTCTGCATTTCTAACCTAAAAGTAATATAAGTTCTGTGACAGTTCAATATGTTCTAAACAATATGAAAAGATTTAGGTTCCATCAAAATAAATTAATATAGTAATTAAGAGCCAACATTAGATATTTTTTATATAATGTATTTATTCTGTAACGATAATTTTGTTATGTTTTGATCCATGATTCAGATCTCTTCAGTTACATTAATTAACGCAATTGACTTATAGTTTAAAGTATATTATACACAATGTCAAATCTATTCGTTTGTAATTTATTATATAAATTTTTGATTCTTTCAAAATCTTAGTGGAGTTTTGTGATTGCACAATGTTTGCATTTTAATATTTTTCTCTATCAATGTGTGATTTTTCTATCACTACATACGTGCTTAATAAATTTGGTCCCAAAAATAAACTCTTTTTGATAAAAATGGAATCAATTATTAATTGAAAAATTAAATGGTACTTGTCTGTGATACATTTTGCATAAAATGTATGCATTTAATACAAACAAGTATTTAATCTTTATATTTAATTAAAAAATGTATTAAGATACATAATTTTTACTTTCTTCATTAGTTTTTAAAGGAATAAGTTCTTAAAGGATAATTACCCTTTGTTATAATTATCTTTCAGATTATGATGTACAACAATCGAATAAAAATGTCATGCAAAAATTGCTGCATACACTAGATGATAATAAATACAACAAGGACAAATACAAACGTAGGGATGTTGTAGACAATTTTAAAAATTGGAACGGACGTTGGATGCCTGATAGACCAGGTGATCCAAAACCACCGCCCAAAGTATTTCCAAAAAATCAACAATATGAATATGAATCTGTAGCAGAGCTACCTGAGAAGATGTATTGGCCTGAGCATTGGATATCTAACACACCAGGTAATCCAAAAACATCATGTAAAGTGTTTCCAAAGAATCAACAACAATACAAATATGAATCTAACAGAATTATCTTCCGAGATGCATTGGCCTGGACGTTGGATGCCTGAGAAACCAAATAATTCAAAATTGCCATTCAAAATATCGTTAAACAATGAACGTAATGAATACGAATCTATAACTGAATTTCCTCATGAAATGTATATGGGCCATGTGTCACCAGAATGTGACGATGCTAAGGTTGCTGTATATTCCATTAACATAGACTTGTATCAATTAAAAGAATATTTTAATCTTCTTTGACAGAATATAGCAGTTAATTTTAATGGTAATAAAATTTCAGACTAACTTGACTCTTGATTGGGATCATACTCCTTCAGAATACACGTGTTATGGTCATAACTTTATGCCACGTAAGATTACAGCAAGAATTTATTGTGAGAACATTCCAAAAACATATAGGGTAAAAATATCTTATATTGTTATCTCATTAAATACTGACATTATTTACTACTGTCACAATCGAAGTATTTTTTAGGCTGCTCATAAATGTATGAACCAGAAAATTGAATATGATAGTATTATTCCTCTTTAGTAAGTACACAATGTTCTCTAGTTATAAAAACAATTGTATTCAAACAGAATATTTATATGTGGTTTGCAGCGGTCCTCATAGACCTTTGTGGCCAGTTTACGGAGAATACAAATATGTACCCAAACAGAGATGGTTGCATAGTCTCGAGGTAATCATAATAGCAACATAATACAGGGTGAATTAGAGTCGTTGATCTACTTTTTACCGTATGAGCAAGTTATCGACTGCATATCTTATTATATTATATTATAACTTTCTAAAATATGGTAAAAAGCTGGTTTAATGACTTTGATTCATCTTGTATATACTATATACATATTGATGTGATATAAAAATCATTAATATTTCGTTATTCTATTATTAATAGCATGGTGCAATTGTTATGTTGTATCACCCATGTGCAAATCCATCGGAAGTAAAACGTTTGAAAAATCTTGTTAGCAAATGTCTCTGGCGACACATCATTACACCATATAGTTATTTGGAAGAAGACCGGGTAAGTAATAAAAGCAAGTTAGGAGTTTGTTTGGCATGCAAATTTTTTTTATTTTTTAATATTTCAATTTGTGCGTGTGCGTGCACGCGCGTGTACGTGTGTATTTGCCGTGTCCGGTGTAATGGCTACAAATTCTCGTAAGTAGATAAAACGGACTGAATTGAGTTGACAAGTCCTCTACCATTTTACAATTTTTTCAATATTTCATGAGATATTAATTTTTAAAGATTACAGAATAAGCAGATAAAATCGATGTGCAAGGCAAGTTTAAGACATTTTTCAGGATTTTTAATGGAATATCTTAAAAATGTTTCATAAAGATATCTTATTAAGATTTAGAGTTGTGATATGTGTTGATGTTAGACACTCTACTTATAGGATAACTCAAAAAAGAATTGTAGAAATTGCAAAATGGTAGAGAACTTTTTGGTTCAGTTTAGTCCACTCTATCTACTCACGAAAGATTACTCGGTCATTATCAGACGTCCTGTATATGTCCGCGCGCGCGCGCACACACACATTTACTACTTTTGAAAGTTTGTTCTTTTGAAAAGTTAATAATTTTGATTTTGAAAGTTTGATAATTGTTGTCTTCTATTTGTACAGCCCTTAGCGCTCCTATCTTGGGGATGCAGATTGACCATGTCGTATGTAAATTCCACCGTGGTGAGACGTTTCATACAGAAAAGGGCTCTCCAGGGTTCAGAAAAAATAGCTGACGATGGTCAATTCAAGGATGGGCTATTGAGTCACTCAAGCGTAGTGACGGATGAAGTCGATTCCGTGCTTTGTCCTAACATGTAAATGCATATACATACGTAATAATAACAAATAGCATATTTCCATTACTTGCAAAACTCGCAATTTATATGTTGTACATATTATTTATATTAAATGCCCCTAGTTATTCTATACCTAGCTCGTTTTTTATTATGTGTAATATTTAATTATTTATCTGATTTCAAAGGTATTCGATAACAAGTGTGAACTTGTTTCCTGCATAGCTTGTAAATTGAATCTTATAGAATATTGCAATAAATCGTGAGTACAAATGAAGTCTCATTTTTTAAAATCATTATTACGTTAGTTTCTCTTGCATTGTGATGCACTTCGTATTTACAGAAGGATTTAAGGAGTTGCGAAGAAAAGTCAAGAAACCAAGCTATTTCTTCTTTTCTTTTATTCCCCCATATATTCATATATTCTTCATCTTTCAAAGATCATTAAATACATTGAATATATCGTGTCGATTTTTTAAAATTCTTTTTGCAAACCGCTTATCTACAGATGTATAGTAACTTCACTGCTGTGCTGATTATAATCTTTATTCTTGCCGATTACTTACTTCCAATAATATATAAAATTAGGGATTAAGATGAGTGATACGCTACTGTTGTTATCAGCAATGCAAAATATGCAACCCGACTACTTAATTGTAGGTTGTTATAACGTAAAAGACTATAATTGTACAGTTATGTGAACGCTTCACTTTTCTCCTTCTTTGTCTTCTTTTTTCGCTTTTACGAATAAGTGTGTAAATATCGAGAGTCGTTATTCTTACATCGTTGATGTTTCTTGAGTGCAACACGAGTAGAAGCTGGCGATTCGTGTTAGAATGAGTAGAAATTTTATCACGCGAAAAATTGATCATACACTAAATATCCAAAAATCTAAAATACTTAATATGAGATATATCATAATTCATCAGATATCTTCATATTCGAATGAATTCAATTTTTTTAGATAATTTAGACAATCTAATTTTTCAACTTTTTAGACGCGTCTTACTATATACATCTAATATTTCAGACATTTAAATTTCTTAAATGCCTTGATCTTTTAGACGTCTTATTTTTTAAATGCTCCAATTCTTTAGTCGCTTTACGTTTTTAGGCAGTTAATTCTCAGATGTTACTAGGATTTCTTTGGCATTATCCAAGCTACCGCATATATACATATATAAAGCTTCAATCTCAAAGTCGAAAGTTACTCTTCCTGACACAAGTCGCAGCTTCGAGTCTCGTTAATCGAAAAAATAAACGTATTCTTATTTTATCTTTTTACCTTTTTTATAGCGTAATCTAGCGATTTCTAACTGTGTTCGATACATCAAATTTCATGATAAATTTTCTTCCGCCAGCCATATCTGAGAATTCTCAAAACAATGTAAACAGTGCGAAATAATGGGATTACCAATATAGGTAATAATACTGGTTTCCATATAGTGAAAATTGTTTTGCAGCAAATAAAGTAATAAGCAAATTTTTTCATACGATTAGCAAAGTGATTACAATTTTGCAGTATAATGTTCTCGAAAGCAGTTAGATTTTTTTTACCAGATCCACAGCTAGAGGCCTACTGCTATGTTCGTAAAGAAATATTTGTGCTTGTTTACATGACGAAAGGGCACATTCATCTGGTGATATATTATCTCTATTGCAGAATTAATCATCACTTATACATCTGAACAATGTGAAATATCCAAGAAATATCATCATTGTTCACCAATATTGATATATCCTTCTTAAACTTAATGCTAGAAATACAATAAATATATACAGATAATTGCTTAAAATTGGTCAAAATTTAACCAACATTGTCAAAATCTTAAAATGTTTAAATTAGAACTTAAGTAAAAATATGTTTATTATATACCTATCTCAAAATTATCAAATACTGAATGCTATTTATATTATGTCGTCCAGGGACTTTAAACTAATTGTTAATTATTTTTTTCAATTGTTCAATTTTTATTTTATATCGCAATAATTGTATAATCGCTGTGTAAGATTGATATGCGACGAATACAGCATATAATCACTCGATTTAAATATTTCTTATTCTTTCAAAATATTTCTTGGATATTTTCATTGCCTGAATGTTGGCCTGACTCTCTTCAATTCGTAAGATTTAACCCTTCCTGACTAATCACGAATAAAATCGAAAGGGAAGGCTAATTCGAAGCCGAGATAGAGTTCTTCCATCTCTTTCGTCTCCGCACGAACGATTACGTTATAAGACGGGACATCTTAAGGGCAAGTCTCTTAAAATTTTTTTTCTCTTAAAATTATTGCCAACTTTGTACAGTGTCAATGATAATTATGATGATAATAATAATAGTAACAGTTAATCATTTATATCAAGGATAAGAACGCAAGAATTGCCAGATTTATAGTGGCGCGTCTGCTTCATCTTTTTTTATATAGCTTTTCGTTCAGCATATAAGTCTTATACGAAAGAAATTACACAGCGCGCTCGCGAGACGTCGGATATACGTATATAGGCAGAAAAAACACTGTTAACTTTACGAGTTTTTTTTTTTTTCCATGAGTATTCCTGTTAATATAATATGCGTCTTTTATTATTTTTATAATTTTTATCTATATGAAATACCTACAATAAAAAGTATCCATTATCTCTGTTACTCCTGCATGTGCTACAATTTTATGTTTCTATCTTTTTTTATCTTTTTCATTTTTTCAGTTTAACATATGTCTCACGTTTTTTCTCGCGCACACACACACACACACACATTTTTCTTTCTCTCTTTTTCTTTTTTTTACACTCACATACACACACACTCGCTCTTTCGCTCCTAACATTTTTCACCGATTCCGATAAATTATAAGTTTATCAATAATCTCACTTTGCCACGCTGCGATACGCGCGGGCGATTCTTATTTCTTTATTTTAACCAGTTAAGATTCGTTTCTCCCGTTTTTTTTTTTTTATGCCACATTGTCTCTCTCGTTTTCTCTTTTTTGTTTTTTTTCTTTTTCTTTTGAGACTCACGAATTACAGTTTACACTCGGGAAGCGTTCGAAAACATTCAAACGCTTGTGTGTATCATTTTATTCTTGTTGTTTACTTTTACTCAATGTTAAACAAGGATAAGATGATACTCGGAGGTACCCGGGTAAACTTTTCTGAACGCAGCTTAGAAATCGGAATTGACACTCATAAGGTTATTGAAGTAGCCTCGTATTTAATAATTGCACCGACATGACATCGACCACATGTTCATGCACACTAGATTGATTCTTCCTATATCCTATATCCGTATAGAGATTCAACTTTCTTTTTCTTCTTCTTCCGCGTGCATTTTGTATGTCCGCAGAATTGTATCGCGCATTTGAAAATTCCTACGTAAATAATTCCGCTGCACAATTTTTTTTTTTCTATTCTGTTCTACGTATAAATGCAATAAATAACGTATTTATTAATGATTAAGGATGTATCTGACGTACGCAATCAAAGGTTTGAAGTTAAATAATGGGTTAATATTAACAGTTTCTGTATAAAAATAAATATATACATGTATAAAAGCTATATACAGGATAGAGCATTTAAAACAGCTCACCTGAATAACTCGCTTGTCTCCTTCTTCTCAAATGAAAATGGCACACGACTAGAACTAGGTCAAAACGGCCAGTAACGAAAATCCCGCAGAAGGCGGTGAGTAACGTAAAGTCTTAACGAATGATGCTATAATCCGCGAAAATGGCAAGAACCGCCCGATCAACGTCGTCACGCCGCTAATACGCGCGTCCAGGACGAACAAACGGGACAACCAAAATCGCGGGACCGCTAGGCGGATTTAGAGTAATCGCAAGGCACAGTCAAAGTCGGCCACACTTTTCAAAAATATAACGGAAATAAGAGCACCCGACAAAGATGCGTCCGTCCAAGACGGGTTGATGCAACAAGATTGTGATAACTCGCTTGTTTTATTAACAATAGAAAGGAAAAGTGTCAAGCAAAAGTTGCTTGGTTTCGAGGGGCACATAATGTGATGTCAATAATTGTTTTGTAGGAGGAGGCGTAAAGGAAAGGCAAAGATCAAATCTGTTTTTTTAAATGGAATAATGTTTTTTTATTTACATTCTGACAGAGCATTTTAAGACGAATGCAGTGACCTATAATTGGAGGTCATTCAAGATTACGCAAGGTCAATAATGGAAAATAATGTAATGGAAAATAAGTTGTTTCAAGGCACCCCCTTCGAATAATTTCATCCTCATAAAATGAGGACCAATTATTTTATTATTAAGAATTCCGGCCCAGACGTTTATGTACCAAGGTCTCTGCCTGTCCACTTCTCATCTCAGTCATGATAATGCTAAGTGCTATTCAATGTTTATTTTACATACCGTGATACGCTTGAACGAATATAGCGGTACACCAACAAGCAGAGAAGACACGAAATTATTCGAAGAGCGCCTTGAAATAATTTATTTTTTATTACGTTCAATTATTTTCCATTATCGACCTTGTAACTTTGAATGATCTTCAATTATAGGTCACTGCATTCGTCTTAAAATTCTCTATCCGAATGTAAATAGAAAAACATCATTCCGTTGAAAAAAAAATAAAATGCCTTCACCTACAGAACAATTATTGACATCACATTATGTGCCCCTCGAAACCAAGCAACTTTTGTTTGACACTTTTCTATTGTTAAAAACAAACGTAAATATTCAGGTGATCTATTTTAAATGCCCCACCCTGTATACATACAGTTGTGTGAGTAACATCATATTTTTGATCAACGCTTTTTTGTAGTTTATGTACTGTGTATTTATATTATTTTTTATTCTTATAATTTTTCAACCTAAAAAATGATATCTCAATAAAAAAAAATTTTTAAGCATTCATAATACAAAATTTCATTGTAATTCACTGCTTATTTATAACCTAATTAATATCAGTGAATTGCAATGAAACTCTGCTTAAATCACCTCGAATACTTAAAGAATTTTTTCAAAAAAATCGAGATTCTTATTATCATTTTTTAAGTCGAAGTATGTTGTTATAAAAATAAAAAATAATAATAAATATACACACAGCAAATAAACTATATAAAACTGTTGAATAAAAGTACGACATTACTCATACAACTATTTCGTATCTACTATATATATAGTAAATATGAAAAAAGTACTATATATAGTTTTCATTTTTATACAAAAAACATAATAATATTAATACATTTTTAACTTCAATTTTTGATACTAAATCTTATAGGATCGTACATGTGAGAAACACAACAAATCAGAAATTGCTTTTAACGATCGAGCTGGATCTTAGATGCTATT